CTCTTCATCTTGCAGTTTAAAGCTAACATCTGGAGATACAGGATGAAAACTGTAATCTGTAACTAAAGCTGTCGGACATATGTAGTGCAGTGAAAAGGACAATGATACCTCTGAGATGTAGGGGGGGAGAACTAAAAAGCTGCATAGAATGGAAATATTAAAGTACCTTTTGATTTTTTACAGTACTTGAGTATAGTATACTTCATGTACATTCCACCAGTGCTTTTATTTTATGTGAACTCTTTAATGCAGGACTTTTACTTGCAGAAGAGTATTTTCACAGAGTGGAATTGCTACTTTTAACTTGGGTAAAATATCTTTCTAATGTTTCTTTCAACCCTGGCAACAGTTGTTAGATGGTCTTTGGCTCATCAACAGGTGCCTTTTGTTAAACTCACAGGACTCTTCACTGCAGGAGAGGGAGAGAAATCAATACATCTCAGCCCATTGATCATTTAGTCCTTTGAGGCCATTTTGGGCGCCTGGTTGCATCTTTAACACCAATCGGACCCTTACAGTCCACACATACACACAGGTGATTAAATGAAACTCTTATTGATCCATGTAGAGAAACAGTATCATCATAGCTCAAGGTAATGAGGTAAAGAAAATGGACCATTTAAATGAGAATATAGCCAACAAGGATGATTTTGAAACATAATCCAATGAAGGGAACAGCACATTAAATTTCTAAGGCAAGGCAAGTTTATTTGTATAGCACATTTCAACAACAAGGCAAAGAGCTTTACATTAAACATGAAAGCAACACATTAAAATATAAATTTGAAAAGGTGTAATTGACATTTGTATATTTATTACATGCATATAAGGTCATGAAACGGACTGTTTCAAAACACTACTGCTGTTTCAAACGCTTTTCAAATTGCTGTACAAATTAAATTACTGTACTATTTATAATTCAAATAGGCTACACTGTTCAGTAGTACAGTACTGTATATAAAATAAAGCTCAGCTCTCATTTACATTATAATTAGGTTATAGCCTAAAGTATTGTGGTGTTTATAAATACAGTAACGTCAGTAGTGCTAACAGGCTGCTGAGCCACACCTCGGATAACTGCAAGTCATCAGTGCCCAGCTGGTAAGAGTTTTAAAACAAACATATTTGTACAATATTCAGATTTGTTTCCCCGTGTTTTCATGTATAAAAAGACTTAAAATGAACACTGTTAGTGGACTACTTGATTACTTTAAGCAAATTATTTAAATGATTCGGAGCATTTTGATCCAGCGATTCATCACTGCAACCCTGAAAAGCTGTTTCCACTGTATAAGGAAATATAATAGTAATGATACATTTTATTTATAATGTACTTTACATTTGAAGCAAATCTCAAAGTGCTACGAAATATATTTGCCTGGAGATGTATCATGAATAAACTGGTGAAGTTGAACATAATTGTGGCCCTGAAAGCAAAAAGCAAAATAATTTCACTACCAGAGAAATTAAAAACAACAGTGTCCGAAGTGAAATCCAGAAAAGGCACATTTATTTGTAAGTCAATCATAGTGGGGAAAAAAAAAAGTTTGATATTTCCTTCTGAAATGAAGTAACATGAAATAGAAATTAAAGTACAATACCTCACATCTGTGCTTAAGTGTTACCTCAGTTGAAAACATATTTCATTAAGTTTAATCTTGACTTTGCAAAACAGAAGTTGACAGAATATTCTCACCGTCCGCAGGGTCGATTTAGTAGCTGTGCTGAATCTTTCTAATAAAAGCCAAATAGTAGAATTTACATTTACTACTTCACTTTTAAGGCAACATGGACGAGAAGTCCTTAAAATTGAACATCTACAATTTTAAACTCCAAAATCCACCTGCTGATGAAGATCACATGACCCTGATCGAAAGCTCCAGTGTTTCTAAATAGAGATTGTTTTGTCAACTTATTTCAATAAATATGTGAAGAAGAAATCTGATCCCTTCAGTCATCAGTGTGAAGAAAGTTCGTTGTCAATATACAATATTTTTTGTCCTGAGAAACAGAGAGTGACGTATGAGCTCTCCCTCAGCTTAAGAGGCTTATCTCATCCATCCTGTAACGGTGAGCGAACAACAAGCAGCCGCCCGCGAAGTAAAACACAAATCTGGATTGAATCATCGGGCCACCGGGGCGACCGGGCATCACTCAACCTGCTGAGAGGAAGAGAGAGAGAGATGAAACCATAGAAACAGATAGCTGCAGGCTGCACTACATGGCCATAAGTATTTGGACACCTGAACACTGTTCTTCTGGTTTCAGGCTTTTCAGCAGGTGGTTGTACCTGACTGCAGGGATTCACTCCCAGCATTACTGTATGTTGCTGTCCCGTGAAAACCATGTATCTACAAAAAGTGAATTTTTTGAAGATAAAATGTGTTTTTTTTCTGATAAGCCAACAGGTTTTTTTTTTTAAAGGATTATTTGTATATATATAAATGAAATATGATTATCTAAAGGAAAACCAGACCAAAACTACAAAACCACTGATAATACTCAAGCTCACAGTACCCTGGGAAGAGTGCATGGAAGAAGCCAAGTACCTGGCACTGGTGGAGACGTGACTGGACAGAGGATTGGTGAACCTCTATGAACCCACAGAGGTGGGCTGCAGAGGCTTTGCGGGATGCTCACTCTGCATAGTCCTAGCAGAGGGCCATCAAATCTGCAAGATGGTTTTGGATTAAGAGGGCTGATCTGTGAACAGTTGCTGTTGGGACGCAAGTTGGGGCCTGATCAACCCCATCTAGGTCGCCGGGATGAGGGTGTCCTGAAACACCTGGGATTCCCCGGTTACATCACTGATAATCCAGCACATCCAGAAGACGTAGTGCGCAGTGATTTTCTCAACCCATAAAGGAACACTTAACCCTGATGTTTGTCTGAAAAATGCACTAAATTTGGAGATACATGGTTTTCACTGGACAGCAAACAAGTTAAAAACAAACTATAAAACTGTTTTTTTTAATCGCATTTAACAGAATTTTCTGATTTTGGCAACAACATGACGTTTGTTTCTAGTCCGACACCTCTGTGGTCAGGGTTCAGGAAGAACAAAAGGTCTGAAATAACTACTTTGATGTTTGGGAATCTTTGCTGTCGTGGTTAAAAAAAACAACAATGCGGTCTCTGGTGTCGAGTTCACACATGTTGTTGATCCAGCCGTTCACCATGACCTCCTCCATAAGAGGTTATGTGTCTCTCTTATCAGCGTCACGCTACGTGCTCCTTTGCTGCTGAAAGAAAATAGCTGTTATTAAAGGTCACAGTCAGGTAAACACAAGTCATGTTTTGGCATTTGAACAGGCGACTTATTTTTTAATTATCCTTGTTATTTTTCATGGAAGGAGTCTCTGAGGTCCAACGCTGATGTTGGGTGATCAAGTCTTGCTCACAGTCGGTGATTCAGTTCTCATCCCAAAGGTGTTGGAAGGGGTTAAGGCGTACAGGCCAGTAAAGTTCTTCCACACCAAACTGGGAAATTAATTTCTTCACGTTGAAACAGAAAAGGGACAAACTGTTGACACAAAGTTTAAAGATCGATGTTGTCCAAAATGTTGCAGCTGCCTGTTTGCAGTTGGTGGCGAACGCAGCAGCAGGGCTTCTGACAAACACTCAGGGCCTCGGAAAGCTTAAGTGTTTATCGTTGATTCGACGCTGGAAAGACGTGGGAGGACGGGGTTTCTGACGGGGTACGCAGAGACCATCTCTCTCCAGTCCGTCCTCGCTCCAGGCTTTGGCTCTGAACTCGTAATTCTGCTCCGAGACCCCTGAAGTCTGATAACCAAACTCCAGGCTCCGGGCTCAAGACAAAAGGAGAGAGGGGGGGGGGTCATGCTTTTAGTGTCCAACACTGTGGAATAAAATCCCCTCAGCTGAGTCTGAGACGCATTTTAAAAAGCTCTTAAAAACCGACCTGTATAGGCCGGAGTGTTTGTTAACCGTGCTGAGTGAAGACGTCTGATGCTGCACTTCGGTCCAGACTGACACAGCTGCTGGATGTCTTGTGATTAAATGTGGTTCAGACCTTCATGTTCCCCCTCAGGAGGAACTCTAACTGCTTGATCCTCTGACTTTTCCTCTATAGCGCCACCATCAGGCCAACATGTTAATGTGTCCAACACTTATACCTGCAGGACTTCCCATCAGCCTCAGCTGCGCGCTGTGTTTAATGTACTTTACATTGATGAAAACACTTAAGATGTTTAAACTAGTACCCTTCATGTTATAAATACTTTCTAAATCTAAACAGGATAAACTCTTCTGATATCGGTCAACAAAGATCTTTATCGTGATGCCATCCTAATAATAATAATAATTATTACATTTATTAATATTAAAAACCCATTTTAACCTACGTTTTTCTTTACAATAAGCAGTACGACCTCACATAGCTGTAGACCTGAGGCATCTTGTTCCGGTGTTAAAGAAATAACGTTTACATACACACTTACTAAAATATCCCTGTGTGCTGCAGCATTAAGGTTTCAAACCATAAAATTAGATCCAGACTCAAAGTACAACCAAACCGACCAGTTAGACTTCATCCTTGAAGTCTTTTCTCTTGTAAAACGTTTTCAGTGAGTATTGTCCAGTTAAAGCTATTTCTATTGTTTTAATTTGACATATCTAATATTATAACTCTCAGAAAAGGCTCTAATGACCAAGAAGTACTTTTTCTTTAATACTTTCAGTGCAGTTTACTGTGTGGGCTTTGGTGAAAAAACTGCTCAGCGTATAAATCCTTTTTATATATATTTATACTCAATATATGGATCAATGAAGTTTATTTGTAAATTATGTTTTTGTTATCAATCTGAACATGCAAAGTAACTATAGGTATTAAATAAATGTAATGGAGTAAATAGTACACTATTGGCTTCCAAAATGTAGATGAGTGGAAGATGGAAATATTCTAGTAAAGGTACAATTACCTCAAATTTGTTCTTTGGTACAGTACATGAGTAAATGTGTAGTGGAGTATTACTAAGTGAAATCTTGAATGCATGACTTTTACTTGAAGTAAAATACGTGAGTACTTCTTCCACCTCTGGAAACAGATATTTAAAATGAGCGGAGTGAGAGGTAAAGGATAAATATTGTGAAGGAGGGAGGACAGGAGGAGGGTGAGGAGAGGCAGCAGAGTATAAAACAGATGGAAGAGGAGGGAGAGTGGAGGAGGGAGGGAGGATAAATGAAGCCAGAGGGAGATGAAACAGGTTTGGAGACAGAAAGCAGCCGGTGTTTAAACTCAACAGTCTCTCAGCAGCAGGCAAACAGCGTCGTCGATACCTCCTCAACCTCCTTCGTCCTCCACCCATCCTCCTCTTCCTCTCCTCCTCCTCTGGTCTTCCTCTCCATGCCGGCGGAGGTCTCTCCGCGGGGCTGCCATGGCGAAGATGCGGGTGTCGTACGAGTACTCCGAGGCCGAGGACAAGAGCATCAGGCTGGGGTTGTTCCTGATCGCCTGCGGGATACTCAGCCTCTTCATCCTGGGCTTCTGCTGGCTCAGCCCGACCCTGCAGAGCCTCCAGAGCAAGCCGGCCAACTGCACGGTGAGCCCGGCTACACGAGCTCCGAGCAGCCGCTGCCGCCTGCCGGAGCTCGGCGCTACGCACTAGTTGTAGGATCCTGTAGGTCGGTCGTGCAGAAGTAGTAGCTCGTAGTAGTTGTTGTAGTAGTTAGTGGAGGAAGTATCAGTTAAAACATGAGCTCAGTAGTCTACTTTTATCTGTTATTGTTTTTATCAGTGGCATACTGGTGTAACTTATTACAGTGTATATTTGTGCTTGCTGCGCAGTATTTTTTATTACTATTATCATTAGTACAAGTTGAAATAGTGCCATTGTTGTCAAAATTAGTGTGGGCTTTTATACTGGTAGTACTGTTGTTATAGTGCGAGCAGTAGTAGCAGCAGTGTTAAGCCTAGTGATGTGCAGAGGTGGAGGAAGTATTCGGATCTTAAAGTAGTAATACCACTGGGTAGAAATACTGTTACTAGTAAAAGTACAAAATCAATAGTATCAGAATAAACAAAAGAAGTCATAATGTAGAATGACCCATTTCAGATTAATAGCCTATATATTTTATTTTTGGATTATAATTATTGATGCATTGGTGTGTTCATGGCTTTAATGTTGCAGCTGTTTAATATGTATAATAATAGAAAATTATTTATGAGTTGATGATTTTATTTTTTGTTTACAATCTGAATCTGAAAAGTAAATTTCAATACTCAAGCAAATTAGATCAGAAAACGTAAATACTTTATTTATCCCAGAGGGGAAATTGTGTTTCTAATCAAGGCATTAGAGAAATAGAAATAACAATAAAAATCTGGCAAGTATAAAATATAAAAATATGGAAATATGTACAGTTATACTACAATATGTGACAGAAGTGTAATGAATAAAGAACAACAATGAGTACTGATAATTTTGAGAGATGAGATGAGTTAAATCCTTAAAAACTGCAGTATTGAGACAGAACAAACCAGCGTATTGCACAGAAGTCTAGTTGTGCTCGTTTGTCATAATTGTGTACAGTACTTGAGTTAGGTACTTTCCACCACTGGTAACGAATTAATACTGAAGACGTCAGATGTATCCTATTGTTATGATATGAGCTCATCATGTTATTGATCTACAAATGTCTGATGTCCAAAGTAATCATTCCTACAAAGCTCTTTATGTATTTAAAGTTGCACAAGAGTGGAACACAATGAATTACTCTGAACATCAGTTTGGTTATTTTATGCATTATTTTGCACGCACACATGTGCCTTATCAATATTGGAAAATATCTTTATTAAAATCGTGATAATGATTTCATCCAGCCTAAATTTTAAGAGTACATTTAAAGAGCTTTTTGGCTTTTTCTCTCTCCTTTATTGAGTTTTAGACCTTTTTTGTGCATGTAACAGGTTTGCAAAGTGAAAAAGCCCAAAGGGAGTTCCCATCTCCCACAGAAAACTCTGCTCTGAACTGAAAACAGCTCGTTTGTAGTCCAGCCGCTTCCCTTTCATCCTTGTGATGTCACAGGGATGAAAGCTGGTCGGCAACACGGCTTCTCGCTGACCCGCCCTTCTCTGCTTCTGATTGGCTAGTAGTCCTTAACTAGGAACTGAGCATGTGCAACTCCCAACAAAGATCATGTAGAGACAAGATGCATCACTCCACAGCTAAAACGAAGCCTTCAACACAGGCTGAAAAGAGGAGCTGCAGCAATGTGCAGTATGACAAAAAGTATGGTGTTTTTTTCTTTTAATTAAACCATGTAAACCTGTTCTGGTACAACCACTAAATAAGATTTTGAACCTGAAAATGAGCAGAAAACCTCCTCTTTAAACATGTTAAATTGAATTTAGCTGATGCTTTTATCCAAACTTAGCCTTACAGTTGCTCTATGTCAGAGGTCTCACGCCTCTGGAGCAACTAGGGGTTAAGTGTCTTGGTCAGGGACACATTGGTGGATGTGTCACAGTCGGGGATTGAACCCCATATATAAATTATACTGTAGATACTGGTGTTGAGAACAATATTGAGGTGTTGGTACTTTACGTGCTGATGCCAAATACTATGTGATTTCTGTGACCTAGCTTGTGAGAATCTGTGCTAATTCTTCTCAGAGTGAAGTGTTGGGTAATTAATCAGGAGAAAAACTAATACGGATCAGTCGCATCAGTGGATCTGATGGACAGTGATGACGACCAGTCTGTCCAGGTCTCTCACAGTGAGCCAGCAATCATCAGTCACGCTGTCAGTGAAACTGTACATCACTGTTGGTTTTAGCATCTGTACTGTCATTTCTTTATTTCCATGCTGTTTTTAGCAGCAACGCTTTGACTGGAATATTTCGACAAACGTCCGATGAATTGTTATTAAATGTTGAACAGACATTCGTTTCCCGAGAGGATGAAGCTTTATAGCTCTGGCAATTCCCAGTCGTTCTCAAAGGGGTCCTTGAGGGGGTTCCAGGGGGTCCCCAACAAAAAGGGGAATCATTTAATTTCACTTTAATTCCATCCATAAGTACCATAGTGACTGAATGCATGATTATTTTGGTTAATGGATTTCATACACTTTCTGGAATAAAATATCTAAAAGCCAAAATCCTATCAGATGGTTGATCCTGGAACAAAATCTTCAAATGGGGGTCCGTGGTCTAATTTGTGGCAGTTTAGGGGTTGCTGACATGAAAAAGTTTGGGAACCACTGCCATAGAGAAGCTCTTTACATTTACATTACATTTACATTTACACATTTGGCAGTTGCTTTTATCCAAAGCGACTTACATTTGAGAAACAACATACAAGCATCAACAGAGCATCAACTACAGATCTACAACTGACAATACATACTAGTAAGAGCAGCAATAAATACTAGTAAGAGCTCACAGTACCTATCACATCAATGGGGTAGATACCTAGGGAAGGAAGTAAGAGTTGACAAAAAGTGCAGTCAAAACAAAACGTGCAATCAATTCAAGATCATTGTAGGGGATAGAAGAAGAAGAGCACAGGAAGTGCAATAATGGGATGAGGTTGCATACAGAGGGAGAGAAAGTAGAGGAGAGAGGAGCTCAGTGCATCATGGGAAATCCCCCGGCAGTCTAGGCCTATAGCAGCATAACTAAGGGATGGTTCAGGACTACCTGAGCCAGCCCTAACTATAAGCTTTATCAAAGAGGAAAGTCTTAAGCCTACTCTTAAATGTGGAGATGGTGTCTGCCTCCTGAACCCAAACTGGAACCTGGTTCCACAGGAGAGGAGCTTGATAGCTGAACGCTCTGGCTCCTAGTCTACTTTTGGAGACTCTAGGAACCACAAGTAACCCTGCATTCTGGGAGCGCAGTGCTCTGGTGGGGTAGTAAGGTACTATGAGCTCTTTAAGATAAGATGGTGCCTGACCATTAAGAGCTTTGTAGGTAAGAAGAATGATTTTAAATTCTATTCTGGATTCTCGAGTTTGGCATTTTGGTCGTTGCCATCTTGGTTTTATTGGAAACAGATGTGACCACATTTGGACGAGACGGTGAAGCATCCGTAATTCACGTTAACTGTGATATTAACTGGCATGCTAATTTTGGCTAGCGACAAAGAGGCTTAAAACAAAATGTGCTTTCCAGAAAAAAAATGACCAGCCAACTCCTAATAATCTTTTTAACAGCGCTGGTACACAGCATGTCACTTGTCAATCAGCTTGTAGCCCCGCCCTAAAGCCAGACAGGCTTGTTTTCTACATCTTTAAAACCAAAGTAAATACATTTGAATGTCAGTAAATTTCGTCTGGAGTTCCTTCCACTCTTCTAATGAGAGTTATTGGAAGCTTTAAAAAGCTTTAAAATAGTGTTGTCAATCTTTGTCTTGTGTTCTGTTTCACCTATGAAGCAGAAAAAAAACATGACCTTTAGTTTTGACAAAAAGTTAGAAATATTGTTTGATATTAAAGCTCAACCAGCCTTTACTTATTGAGTCCTTTATTTTAATCTTTCTTTGTCGATACAAAGTGGGTTTGTCCTTCAGGTCATCTGGTTCCTTCATGCTGCGCCACTTTCCACTTGCACAGCATTTTAAAGCCATCGGGAGTTTTGGTGACATAAATCACAGCCTGCACTTCTGGCTGTTCACTGTGGATAAGGAATTCATACGAACTTGATTTATTTGGCTTTTAGCTTATTGCATCATGCTAAACAAAGTCCACACTTTACAGCGGGTGGATGCCTTTTGTTTTTTTGCTTTCAAATCTCTATGATCCAAACCCATGTCGCAGTAAGAGAGTCCACTCTGTCATTCACTAATCCACAGCTTAATATAACATAAATCATAATATTGGACTTTATTTCATTTCCCTGCCCTCTTGAGCGATGAAGAAAGGTCTGACCTTTATCAAATCTGTGTAGATTGATTGTGTATTTACCATTTATTAAAATTTATTCTCATGCGGCTGTCATTTCAGTCTGTTAATGATCAGGGACAAGAACAGTTACATATTCAAGATCAGTATCCAAATGATAATGCATAACAATTTTTGAAACAACAGATTATTTTAATTTAACTGTAGCTGGCAGATTTTAATCAGCTCTAGCTAACTAGTTAATTAAGCAAACAAATCTGCATCCATGAGTTGGTTCAAAACACTGTCTCCCGCCAACTAATGTTTTTAGTCTTATTTTTTTTAAACTAAAACGGCTTAAATATGCACTTTTCTGGCTACATAGTACACGATATTACGCTAAAAGACTAAGGTTAAAGCTAACAGGCCCCTGGTGGGAGCGTATCTATGTTCCCTAGCTCAATATATATGATATTTATGACATTATGTCTCCACTGACCGGACAGATATTGACCTTTCAAACTGCATTTGAAACATTCATCTGCCTTTCGTTCTTTTGTAATTTGAGGTGTAAAGTTATCCCATACCAATCAATATATATCAACAGACACACATGCTCAAATGTAATTAAATACAGAATTATGAAGCTTTGCCAGAGCAGTCATTTTAAAATGCAGTAAGAAAAAAGAAAATACGTAGAAACTAATTTAGTGTATTATATTATAGAAATATTACTGTTAATTTCTAGTATGTTGGTGTGTAAACATGCATTTTTAATTGTACCAAATATCCTGTATCCTAAATACATGTCCGCCATTTTTAACATTTACATTTACTCATTTGGCAGACGCTTTTATCCAAAGTGACTTACATTTGAGAAACAACATACAAGCATCAATAAAGCATCAGTACAGCAAGAGATCTACAAGTGACAATAGATACTAGCATGGGCAGCAATAAATGCTAGCAAGAGCTAATGGCACGCATGGCTTCAATCGGGAAAGAAGTAAGAGTTAACAAATAGTGCAGTTAATACAAGAGAAATGTAAGGCAATAGAAGAAGAAGACTTACATGCATCAGGAGGCGAGCGAGTACTACAACTGTACCAATATGTTGATGCATCGCTGTAAAACAGTAAATAGTATTCACATGACAGACCTGATGTTTGCAAAGCTGATATTAGACATTAACATTTCTGTTCTCCCTGCAGGTGGTGTCGGTGTTGCGTCCGGAGGAGATGTTTGAATGTGTGTTTACGTGCGGGACAGACTGCAAGGGGACGTCGCTTTATCCCTGCCTGCAGATCTTCGTCAACAACTCGGAGTCAAACTCTGTGGCCCTGCTGCACTTCGATGAGCAACAGCTGGTCCTCAACCCAAAGGTACGACGAACTGACTATTATTGTTCCACTGTGGCAAATTAAACTTACAAGTGATATCAGCGAAATGTGGTTCTTTACTAACATCTAGTGGCAGCTGCAGGAAAATACAATATCAACAACCGAAAAGTTCCATATTGAGATTTTACTTAAACATTTTAAACTATCCCGCTTTTAATTTACAAATACTACCACTGGCAGACAGTTACTAGCTAGTAGTACAAGCTAAAATTCTTGTATGAACAAAAGTTTTGCAGGATATTTGTAAAAAAATTTGAGCAAATTTGATGAAACTTTCACTTTAAATGTTAGCTAAGCTGTGATATGTTTAGTATTCGCTGTTTCAAGTGTTGGAAAGTTGTTAAGTAAACTCACACAAGTGCATATGTAGGTGTCATTTACACTGGGGACACTGGGGACATGCCCATTTGTTTAAAATGTTCTGAAAAATAGCAGCAAATGTTAAATAACAAATGAAAGGTTTATTTTCACAATGGGAAAACATGCAATGTGACGTAAATATAGAAGAAACAAATTTGCATTGTCCAAAAAAGATAAATTAAGCTAAAAAAAAAGCTACTGATTACTGAATTATAACTTTATATTTTGAATTGTCACCTGCCACCTGATTTTTGTGTTTCCCTTTATATAAAGAAATACATTTCCACCAGAAATTGGTGCAGGAAGTTTAGTGTTTAATTCCCACATTTTCAGCATTCGATATTTCTTCTCGTGAACCCGGTATTGTGCATTGCCACGTCTTGTGAGCTAAGTGAATCGTCACAACCCTAACCTGAGCTCTTATGTCCCCAACTTTTTTCAGCACAAAGTGACGCCCAAATTTTGAATTGTACTTTCTTAGAGTGTTTCCATTTTATTCTACTTTCTACTTCTACTCCACCACATCTCAGAGGCAATTATTACATTAGATGTATCTGATAGCTTGAGTTACTTTGCAGACTCTGACTAATAACAGAAAAAGTAATCAACAAAGAAAATATAATATAGTATTGTAGATTTTGATAAAATGGGGGGTTACAAGCTGCCCAGCAGTATGTAAATGTTACAGATTGCACTTTTAATTTATGCTGTGAAAAGAAGCGGACAGTAGGACAGCAGTCAAACAAGTATTAATGTCTCAGTTGAAAACTGATAGGGAAGCTTATTAATGATTGAGTTTATACATTGATTGAGTATATTTTGGTTGATTAATGAATTTATTTATACATGTATACAGGTTCTGGGTCAGATAAACATGGTGTTGAGCTGGTTACACTAGTTGAATCATTGCGTTTTGGGTTGATTCAGTGCGTGAATGTGAAATCAGGTCAATCAGAAGTCAAATGTCTGATTTTTGAATCGTGCAAAGATGAAAATGGAAACGCAGCAGCAATCTTGTGAATTACATGCTGTTGTTTGTTGTGTGTGTTTGTGTGTGTGTGTGTGTGTGTGTGTGTGTGTGTGTGTGTGTAGTCTCACTTTAAACGCCTGCACAACCACAACTTTGGCCAAAAGTATATGGACACGTCATGTTTTTGTCTGGGTTTGGTTTTGGCTTTTTAGTTCCAGTGAAGGGAAACCTTAATACTTCCCATCCACTTCAATCTACTTCCCACATGAGCTACACACGTTTTTCATTGCTGCATGTAATTAGGGTTCTATCTTTTGTTTTTAAATCACTTTGTTCCCTTTCTGTAAGTCAAAAGCTGCACTTCTGGCCTCTTATTCCTTCAAAGGTTCATTCTTCAAAAGTGTTTTTGTGTCATACCTCCATTTTTGAGTGTGGACATGGCAACATCCCAGTGCACAAAGCTCTAATAAAGAAATGGCTTTCCCAGTTTGGTGAGGAAGAACTTGACCTCGACCCCATCCAACACCTTAGGGATGAACTGGAGCACCGACAGTGAACCGGACCCCATCACCAACACCGGTGTTGAAGACGTTGCCCTGGTTTTACTTCCTCAAAATATTTTAGTCTCTTTCTTTGTCTGATTTTGAAAACAGAACTACAGATAAAGAATCATAAAAATCAAGCTTATTTTTTAAAAATGTTATTCATTCATATTCTTCGCTTTGTGTGGTTAAAATACAAGAACACTAGCTGTTCTATGGTAGCATCTTTTCAGAGGTGTTTACAGCGTGCGTAGTTGGAGGATTGTTCTTGCACATTTAGTTTGGGTGATCGCCTGCACTCTGTGCTCCATCTGTTGAATCGAACCTACTGCTTCGTGTCAGGGTGGGCGTGATATTTAATTGAGCGACTCGTCTGCATCATTTACAGATTCTGTGTCACGGTTTGGAGGCTTTGCTGTTTGGATTTTGTTGTTTTTGGTAAGAACAATGTAATTTGTTCTGTTTCCTGTTTTACTCTGAAGATGTTCTCTCCGATCGGTTGTCCACTACTTTTCAAAATGCATTCTGGGATACACTGAGTGGACTATATAGGGTATAATAATTATCACTATACATTCGGACAGCACTACAAAATGGCGAGCTCACTATATGGTCCACTATATAGTGAGTAGTGGGTGATTTCGGACACAGCCGTTGTCTTGTTTTACTTCCTGTCCCTGTGTTCACTGATGGTCTGGTGTGGATCACCTGTCCCTCCCTCTTTATTAGTTCCGTGCTCACTGCTGTTTCACCAGTGTGTCTACTTGTGTTTCTGCAGACATCTCGTTGCCGGTCTTCTCTCTCGTGTTGCCCTGTGTTTTGTGGATGTCGTATGGATTCATAGATTACTACCTGTTACATGTTGTTTGGTTTTGGACTGCCTCACTTTTCACATGCAAGTTTACACCCGTTTATTTAAGTAAACCTCACTAAATATACCGCCGTCTTGCAAATATCTGTATCTGGGCCCCGTTTCTGGTGTCAGCATTATGTTTTGTTCACTTAATCTAAAAAAATACTTTTTTATATCTCATATCTGAACTGTAAACTTATTATAGCATGAAAACTAACAGAAAGAAACAGCTGGAGATGACATGTATTTAGTTAGATTTCTGCAGTAAAAGCTGTTTAAGATTGGATTAAATCGACAGTTATTTAATGTTATTTTATTTAAGTGTTGATGCGATTTGTTTCCAGATGTTTGATATTCAGGATACAAACACACAATCACACACCTGCTGAACATCCGGCCATCCTGCAGGTGTTTTTCCCACAGCCAGATGTTGATCTCAGCTTTTAACACTAGGCCACCATAGACCTCACTAAAGCTACTGCTACTACTACTTGGATACTATGCAAACAAACTATATACTACTGTCACTATATAACAACAACTACTAGTTGGGACAGCAGTAATAACACTAACTAAAGATACTACATTACCAGCGGTGGACATTAACTAAGTACATTTATGCTTTCACTCCTTCATTTATTTGATAACTTTATTATTAACTAGAATTTTAATACAAACTATGTATATGTTTTTTGATAGTTATGTACTTTTACTTTGATGTATTTCTCTCTTTTCTCCTGATGGTCTGAATAACAGATTTGTCACTTGTTGCTTTTTAGAAATAAAGTTGCTGAGGGTCTGAAAGAGGTGGACCAAACCACTGTGAGGTATATGAGAGGGGAGGACCTAATCTTTCAAAGTTTAAATACGCATTGGACTCTAAGTATATAATGAGAGCTTTTAACCGTTTGTGTACCAAATGCATTCACTAGACACTGACAGACAACAGTGGGTGTATTTTAATTTATGGATCAATATCAGCAGGATATTAGTAGGGACATGTTGCTAAATTCTGCAGCCTTGCTTTTACTTAAAAAAGAATCCTGAGCTTTTACTTGTAACAGAGTATTTCTACATGGTGATAGTACTACATTTACTTAAGTAAAAGATCTGCATACTTCTTCCACCTCAGCTAAATCCGTCATTAAATAAACTGTTATTGTAGCTGGTCAGATACATGCGTTTGAACTGGACTTGATGGATTATATTTCATTGTCTCAGTTATACCTGAAGCAACACGTGGCGCCCCCTGCATGTTTTTAACGACATGTTCATCTATCACATGAACGTGCAGGTGTCCACATACTTTTGGCCGTGTGGTGTAGGGAGCACCCCTGATGAGGGAGACTGGGAGGAGGGGGAGAGATGGGCGGGACCTGAGGGGGAAAGACAAAATAACAACACCGCGTGTCTCTGCGGTCCGTGGGACATCCGCCTCCTCCTAATCTTCCTCTTCTTCAGTGCACGTCTAGGTCGTCGCCACAGCAACAGAGTAAATATAGAGGGGAGAGACGGCGCGTCATCGATGCCGCTCAGTCGCCATGGCGACCGCAACGGAGATGATGAGTAGAGCGAGAGAGAGAGAGAGAGCGAGAGACAAGTCACGCTTCATTCAGAAATCCTTTAATGTCTAATAGAGAGAGAGAGAGAGAGAGAGAGGGTGAATATTAGGATTGATGTCACACTGTATCACTCATGTGACCTTTAATATATAAATAATGGGAGAGAGACGAGGGAGGGAGGGAGGGAGGGAGGGAGGGAGGGAGTCACGCTTCACACAGAGAACCTTTGAAGCTCCGCCCGCTCCAAGGTCTGAATTTTGAGACTGAAAACATCATTACCTTGTTGGCCTTTCGTGTTACACAGGTGTGTGTATCTGTTAAATACCTACATGCAGATATGAACAGTAAAATGCACATGAAATTTGTCCCCTGCATTTAACCCATTCTAAGTAGAAGCAGTGGGCTCCCACCACGCGGCGCCCGGGGAGAATTCGGGGTTCCCTTGCTAAGGGGCACTTTCAGCAATGGTCCATGGTGGACTTGAACTGGCGCCCCTCCAGTTCCCAACCCAAGTCCCCACAGACTGAGCTAATGCAGCCCCGTATGTGGTCCATGTTCGTGTTGTAAAAGCTTCTGTAATAACCTTTTCTGACTTATGTTCGTGGTAAATACTATTAGGATTCTAATATTTGTCAGGACGCTCTAAAATATATCCCCCTGTAGATAAGATTAAGATTAGATAGATAGATTAAGCC